TGGGTGCAAAACTGATAATTTTTATTTTTAACTGAAACCAAAATTAAATAGCCTTTCCAAGATTTTTTTGCTGTTATTGTTTAACCCTTGAATTTGGCCAAACGCTATGTTGCCTAAATTTCTTTCACATAAAGTACAACAATTTAAAAAAAAAAATTAGGTCTACTATTTGCTTCCTTTTTCCTGATCAGACTATTTTGATAGTAACAGTTGATAGGATACAATGTTTAACCCCAGTTACTAAAATTATTGTTTGATTTATAACAGTGTCAACGTTAAAAGGATATTGGTATTATTTAAAAAAACAAATTTCCAAACCCTCATAAATGCATGTGCTGCTTCTGGGGTGGTAAAAAAAAAAAATAAATATTGAACCATATTAGACACTAGTAGATTAAAATATAAAACAGGTGGTCAATATAACACTTGGATAACAAAATCAATGCCATCACAATGTACACCAATAAATTAAAAAAAATATATAATTATCTAAATTAAATCCTAACTCTAATCATCAATGCTTCATCTCACAAACATCAAATTTTTTTGACATCAACTAAAAGGAAACTATATTTAGTTTTTTTTTTTTTTTAAATCTACATCAAATTTCTTGCAGTTTAACCCTTTTTCAATCCAAATCTGGTGATAACCCATTCAACTTTTTCCAAAAAAAGAGCTTTCTAATTTACAAAAGTTAATACAACCCCATTCATAAAAAAAAATCTAAAATCATGATTTGAGATTTAACTGCTATACTCTATTCTATTTTTAATTACATAATTTTAGTTAAGCCTGGTCATGCTTAGCAAATTGTCTAGTTTGAGCCTTATTTAATTTGTAAACTATAAGCTTAATAATGGAGAGGAAAGTAGCATTAAGTTAAACAGTCTCACTTAATTTCTGGACTAATCTAAGCCTCGTCATTCTTAAAAGCTTCATCTGAAAAGAAAAACAAAGTTATTTCTATGAAAGGTTAATAAGATGTAGTTAGAGATAGTCAATGCTTTCTCCAAAGTTGTAATAATTCCCCAATTGTTTGTGAGGTTTAAACTGAAATTAGTCTTTTACTAAACAAAGCTTAGATATGGACCAGGCTCCCTGATCACAATAATCTTAACCTTTTCAAGTGTAGGCTTAATTGTTACATAAACTCACTTAGTATGCTCATTCAGTAACCCTCTACCTTGAGTGGCTGTTGGGCCTATATTGTGTGAACATTAGTCAAAAAAAAGAAAAATGTGGCACATTTAGTGAGTATACAACTCCCTAGTGTGTTGTAACTGATCTAATGAGACAAGCTTGTTAACCATTATAACATGTTGAAGTGCCTAAACTGTGAATGAATAAAAGTTAAAATACAATGTCTATCTTTTTTAACAGTCATTAATATTCCAAATTTGGAATATTTTACAAATATATCTTACCTGTCAGTGGATTCAATCAGGTGAGAAAATAATTCATTAATATATATATATATATATATATATATATATATATATATATATATATATATATTATTTTAAACAATTTTTTCTAACTTAAACTCACACACAAAAGTTCGCATGACCAAATAGGCTTTTCTTTTTCTCTTCCTGTTTCTACAAATGTGAACATGAAAGCTTTGAGAAGAAGTGAGATAAAATTATTTAAACAAAGACAAATAATACAAAAAGATAATAAAATAATCCAAGTTTCACAAATTGCTACTTATTTTCATTTTATATACAACAGAATTCTTCAGATTATTTAAAAAAAAAAAAAAACGCCAATGATTTATATCGCATAATATCAAAACTTTTCAAGAGGTAAATGAAGCATGAGATTGGCTTGTCTATTAAAAGTGAAACAAAGATTGGCTATCTTGGGCCTTCAAAAAATCAGTGTAAAAAGGATTTTTTTTTTTTTTTTTTTTCCATTGACATTGCTATTATTTTAACTACCTTCACTCCTTGGCGATGTTTATTGCTTTTAAGAAAAACAAAGATTAGAATTGTAATAAAACCTAAACATAAGATGAAAGTGAATTTATACAGGTTTTTCTTGAGAATTTGCAATAGAAATATTAAACACTATTAGATTTATTTATTTACAACATTCTAAAAATTAATGCAATATTTATCATTTACCAATTTATAAAGAAATAAATATGAAAACACAATTTCTGTTTTATTTATAAACATTTATTAAAATATTTAAACAAAATATAATGAAATCCTTATTGGGATATGTTTTGCCAACTATTCCAATAAACAATAGAATAAATAGTGTTTATTATTTTTATTGTCAATTCTCAAGAACAAAAAATATGTATAAATTCACTTTCATGTTTAGGTTTTAAAATTCTAATCATCACTTTTTAAAACAATAAACATTGCTGAAGAGTGAAGGTATTAAAGTAATAGAAGTGTCAAGAGGAAAAAAATCTTCTTTTGACACCTTTTATTTCATGTCCATGAAGGTCCAACATTGACGAAAAATTACATAGTGCTGTATGAATGTAGATGTACAAATATGTCTGAGATTTATAAATTTTAGTACTGTGTGTATAATGATTTCTGTACAGAAGTAAACCTTCTATATAAAATAGTTTCCTAAATGAAAAAAAAAAAAAAAAAAAAACCCTGTATCATCAGATGCCGAAGAAAATTACATGTATACATTAATGTGCTATTTCTGTATACCAGTTAAAATATATTTTGCTAAACCCAATGATTCCCAAATTAAAGCACTAGTCTTAAAAAAAACAGTAACTGAAGATAATGGGACAACATTGTGTGTGATATATAAATATGCTTACGGTTCAACTTTTTTCCTTTTTAATTAATTAAATTATATCTGCATCAAAATTTGCAATATTTGGCTCATATATTAAAATTAGAGTGTATAAATCCTTATTCTATTGCTTTTTAATTGTGTATATTTCTTTTTCTAGATAGTGTCCACCAATACTTTAAAAAGAAAACAGCAACAACTGTAACAATCCTTACAGCAAAATATACTTGTTGATATTTTACAGCATTATTAGTAAACTCTACCAACGTAGGTGAGAGACATCTGTTCCTGCTGATGTGAATTGTACACCGAAGAAATATGTTCACCACTCATCAGCACAAGTCTTAGAATGAAAATTGGCTTTTGTTTGGTTAGCTAACTTTGCCAAAGACAAAGCATTATTCAAGGCTCCTGATTGTAAGACTTGTATTCTTTAATTAAAACCTCTATCATATAAATTCATTAAACTGGAATTTAAAAAAAAAAAACATATCAAATTCTCTCCCTCAACAGAATGTGAAAAACTATTTTCCTGAACTCTGTAAAACACTTCTCATCAATGACCCCCACCACCACACACACACACACACACAAAAGAGGATTAATTAGTGCAATGCAATATTCCTTACCTATCAGTTGGCCTTGTGCCAGACTAAATTTAAGCTTTATATATCTATGCACATATATAGAAAGAAAGAATAATAACCAGAGTAATCCATGTTTTAGGAATCTGTTTTCTCAAAGATCACATATCTTGGAAGGAAAACATAGAATTAGTGAAATTGGGAGGCAAGTATGCATCAACTTATATACAGAATGAATTGTGATGATGTATTCACACATATAGAATTGGAAGAAACTAAAACTTACAAAAAAAAAAAAAAACAGATGAGAGGAGCAAAGGAATGGAACACAAAACGAGAGGAAGAATACCTACCCCTAATCCCAACCACCCTCAAAAAAAAAAAATGGAGATGGGCAATAAAACATACAAGATTCTGTCAACATTAAGATATTTTTTTTTTTTAAAGAAAAAGACAGTGATGGTGTTATGTGAGGATTTACAAATATAGTGGTTGTGGGATAACATGTAAAATTGTTGTTGTTTTCTTCTTCTTTCCCCCCCCCCTTTGGGTTAAAAACCTGTCATGAACACTATAAGCTGAGAATAGCAGGGGGTGATTACTGCAAAAAAAAAATCCTTTTACTATATGAGGCCACAATATAGCCATTCTCTGTGTGTATGTGTGTGTATATAAGAGTGATATAGATACATACATTGCTAGCGTTTATTTTATTTTTTCTCTCTTGTTATTTAAGGCCCTACAAATAGCCATCGTCCCAAGTGTGTATGCTCAAATATTATCACAGAATATTTTGCACATATCTTTTGATGTCTTCTTTCTTGTGCATGATGTGGTAATGTATGCACACATTATTTAGATAATGTTTGTATGCACATACATATTGACAAGCACACTTACACATTATCCTTTTTCTTTTTTTTTCTTTTTCTCCATATCATCATCATCATCTTGGGAGAGGTAAGTATGTATATTTTTAAAAATGATTTATTTATATTCATGTCTTCTATTCATTTTTTTCGTTTTTAAACAGTTTTTCTTTTTTTTTTTTATAATGGCAACCACCACCATCACATGCTGCTGTTGTTATCCCACCCACACCTTATTTTTTTTTTTTTTTGTTTTGTCCAGTCTTGTAGGTATAGTGCCATTATTTTAAATTGTTTTCTCTGCACTTTTAACATCCTTTCTCTTTGGCATTCTGTCTGTCATTTTTATGTGTTTTGTTTTTTTTTTTTTGCCAATCAACAAAAAGTCAAACTTTATCTCCAGAGTTGTGGGTCCATTTAAAACAAGAAGAAAAAAAAATATTCCCCCCAAACAACTCTTGCGTTATCTGGCTCGCATTTGATGCCAGTGTGTGAATGTATGTATAATATATAATAGCCCAGCCCAATCAACAATACTACATTCATCTTTATACACATGTACTCAAAACACCCATACTCCTGTTGGGAGTTGGGAAGGGGAAACCTATGTTAAAAATTTTATGGTATACTTTTTTTTTTTCCTTTTCCTTCTATTCCTTCATATCTGTACTTTAACAGTGAAAGTGACGAGTGTGAGCAACCCTAGGCAGTGGTGGCTGTGACCAGTTGTTGTAAATTGCTGCCTTTGTTTTAGGCATGTCGTCTCCTGCTGCCATCACCTTCTTTTGGAATGCAGCATCTCTGTGAGCAAAGTCTGCTCGGGCAGTTCCCCATTCAGATGCTTACTATACAGGTACTCTTCCCCATACATGCTTATCATCCGGATCTCAGGCAGACGCAAAAGAACCTGACCAAACTTGTCCTTCATGTTGGGATAAAAACTTGTGCAGTATTCCATCAGGGCCGTATTGATCTTCTCTTGACAGTCCTCTAGAAGTTGTCGGCTTTCTACACCACCAACATCTGCGGAAAGAAATAAAATAATGAGAAATAGAATTGGAAATCAGTTAATATATGGGATAGGGGGATATTCTTCGGAACTTAAAAATTCAGAACCCTTCACTTTAATTTTTGCTAGATTCCATCATACTTTATACATGGGAAGGATCTGTACACAATCTTTTCCTAAGTGCATTAAAGCAATTATCCAAGCTCATGAAAAGCCACACAAAATATTAACAATGTACATTCAGCTCAACAACAAACTGCAATTTCAGAAGTTTCATACCTTTCATTAATGGTCTTTACACAGAATATCATTGCAATAAATATACAAGGAGGTTTTGAAAAACTCGTTGGCCTAGCCCAACCCAACATCTAAATTGATTTTAGAATTTCTTGTTGGCCAAGCAAGGAACTTAACACATTAATGAAATCAAGTATATACTAAAAAAAAAGAAATATTGAAGTAAAAATCAGAAAATAACACCAATCATCTCACCAGGATTTAAAAGCACTAAATATTTGAGGCAAACATATTCATTTTCATCAATTTTCAATTCCCTCATCTTCTTTATAAGGTCCTGCAGCCGGTCCCTCATGTCTCCAAGACCAATTTTATCAAAAAAGTCTGCATTGATTCTATGACCACTGGCCTGCAAGTAGAAAAAAAAAATATCTGTAGAAAATTTCATTGCTTTATAAATAGGGGGAAACAAATATTTCTTAATTTGAAATTGATTTAGAATCTTGACAATCCAAATTCATATTTCTTCTATGAAATGTGGACAAATCATTACTCTCCACAACATTCTATCCTTTGTAGCTCTTAGCAACATCTGTCTTTTTTTTTTTTATTATCCTCTCTCACTCTCTGTTCTGCCATCCATTTATACAGGCTCTCATTTAGTTTCCCCCTCTTTCCTTTCAATAGGTCCTGCAAGTGTTAAATTTTCCTATCTTTCTTTCTGATTCTAACAATAAGTGAATTTGTTGTTTATATTTTCTTCATTGCCTACACTCTACCTATTTTCACCATTCTTCTGTAGAACCACATTTTGTAACGTTAAGTTTTCTCTTCATCTGTAAGAAAATTGTCCAGTATTCACTGCCACAAAGGAGGATTGATAATACCCAACAGTTTCTTAAACCTTTTACATTTTAGGTGTCTTTTGCTATTCCAATATAATTTCAGATCACATTTTCCATCCTCTGTTGTTTGATTTTAACACCTCCATTTCATAGTCCATGTCTTATGCTTTTTTTTTTTTCTTTGTTAAAAATCCATACATTGTTGTCTTTCTTTCATTTTCCACCTTTGTGTCTTGTTAGAAATGAGTTATTTTTCACTCTTAATAAATTGGACCTAACAAAGGCCAACATCAACCTTCCTAGCATGGAATCAAGACTTTTGAGTCCAACTGTCAATATTGAAAAGGATCTGTGATATGCTGTCAGGAGGGCTCAACTCATCCAGTCACACCCGTGACTCATGCTCAAAATTCTTCAGGAGTAGCCTTGGCTTTCACAGCCATCTCCATCACCACCGCCAGTTAAAAATTGGACCTATTGTGTAGGATTCATTGATCGATGGAAAAATGTCTTCAGCCATTTTAAACAAAAATAAATGTTTTAATAAATGGCATTTTGTTGTAGCAATTATAATTCTGAACAAGTTGCAATTTGTCCATCTGACGTTTTTTGTGCTATTGTAAATATTTCTTCAAAATAACACTACCCTTATGTTATATAGGAATAAAGTGTCACTGCTGACACTTGAGTTTGAACATAGATCACCAGTGAGCAAACACAGGCGATCCCATTATTGAATTAAGTAAACCATATGACCATGGAAGGTACCGTGTCATCTAATTGATTGTTATTCAAAGTCTATCCACTATTCTCTACTCTATTCATTATACAGATTACTTTTCGAGTAAGTACTATTAGTGCGAGTGATGTTCGTTGACATCACAAAACCTTAGTGAAAAATTTACCAGTATGAAGATGGTTGAATAGCTAGATGATTTCAAGCAGCAACATTTCAGAAAGCTTCTCAAAGTTTTAAAGCACTAAAAATGTTTCAGATCAACTCAAGATGTGGCTATTCCTTCAAAAATACAGCATGAGAATGGTACAAAATCCAAAGACTTACAAGTGTGACTTGTCCATTCAGTAACAGAACTGCATTCTAATAAACATGAATACAAAATGATACACATGAATCAGAAATGTTGATTAAAATTGACAGTAGCTTTAATAGTGCTCAATACAAACTGTCTCAGGTGAAACAATAAAATCTGTTGAATCTTTTTACATACCTCGGAAGCAAAATAAATTCTACTGAAAACAATGTAAAAAATTCACATAGCTAAATTCTGGGCTGCCTTGAATAAAATAAAATGGAAGTAATCTGGAAATTTAATCTACCTAAAAACCTCAAGCAGAGATTCTGCAGAGGCAGTGTTAATGTAAGGTCCTACTGCTTGGGCATTAAGTAAAAGCCTAGAGTCTAAGTTTGATGGAACCAACACACAGATCCTGAGAGCTATACTCAACATCTCTTAGAGACAACATCTAACTTAATCACAGCTCTATGGACCCATTCCTGATATTTTTACAATCTTGCATGACACTTCTGGCTAGCAAAACAGGAACTTACAAGTGATCTATTGCCCTGGAGACTTGGCCATGGCACAAGACGGGTTGGTCACCCAGCAATGTTATGCCACCCTAATGACCTTCTGACAGTCATGGTCTCAAGAATGTCTGAGCTAGCTTGACCAAATAAAAATCATATCCAGCTGCTTGAAAGCACGATTTTTCAGCATAATAAAATGATACAAATTTCATGCAACTTGTGAGTCTGGTTGATGAAGTCATTGTATTGGACAACTTGGAGCTCTCACATAAATATCAAGGAAATGTCGACAAAATTAAAGAGAAGAATTAATTAAAATACTCCATGCAGTCTATAAATTTGTGAAAGCTTATGTACAGAAAATGGCATCTATATGAAGGATTTGTACATATGTCTTCTGATGGCAATTATCCAAGGGAAGAAAAAAATTAACATCTTCATATGAATCTTCTTTCACACAAGTAAATGACTCTCCATCAGGGCTAATGTTTCATATTTAGAAAATGCAATAGCGAAACATCCACTTATAGGATGGGAAATATTAGATTTTTCCACATATTCCTTGCAAAGAGGCATTAAAGTCTGAAGCTGAAGAACCAAAATTGGCAGAGTCTTTCAATAATTGTTTAATAGAATACACAAGCAGGCATCTAGATGTGGCGACAACTTTCGGTTCTTTTATTGGAAGCATCAGATGATGGGGGAAGATGATTTCTTTTTGTTATTTCAGTCGATCATTTCACTGAATATACTCAGGTAGATGGGGCTCAATAGGCAATCCATGATTTTAATCCTCCACTGTTCCAAATATGGAAGTAAATTCAGACAGAAAACACAAAATGTATAGGACAATTAGAATAAATGGTAGTTCATTCAAAATGATCATTTTTTTTTCATAGGTTACCATGTATATATGTTTCAAAACAAAGATAGCACCACATTTTTCTTTTTAATCTCCAAAAACGATCCATCTTAATCACTTCTATAAAATAGGTTTCCTTCAATTAAAGCAAGTTTATTTTAAATAAAGTCTGTTACAAAAACAAAGTCAATAAATTCAGGGTGAAAAATTTGAGTGCTAACCAATGTGAACTCCATGGTTGAGTTGCTGTAAAGTTGTCTGTATAAAAAATCCAAAATAAGTAATTCGCTCCATGAATTCTGAAGAAGCTTCATTTGATTTTCAACCTACAGTAGAGAAGAAGTAAAAGAAATGTATATATATATATGTGCAATGTAAATTACATGTATTCATCATGTTCTTACTTGAATAAATAAAAGAAAACTGACATCATGACATTTTTTTTTTTTGTTTCACAAATTCTCAGCCCATACAAGAAATATGTTTGGGCATTGCGTTAGCTACAAAAACTTTTACCTTCCAGACTGTTATATAAATATTTATATATCTACCAAAAAAGTAAGCTTGAAATGAACTAAATTCCCAAACACACTTGCAGACTACTTTTGCATTAAAAATTGATGTGTAGCCATTCCACAATCAAAAAAGAAAGGAAAGACCTCAAGTGAAATCAGTCAATAATTACAAACCATCAGTTTAATGTATTAAATGAAAAGACACAGGTTCTTTCTTGAGACACAATTTTAACAAGTACTTCCAATAAGTGTACCTGTCAAAATATTTTTTTTCCAGTTTATTTAATTTTGCATGGTTGAGATAAATATAATTTAAACTACAATTATCATCCTAAAATAATTTTATTTAATTTTTGAAGATATGTAAGCATAAAACAGTTTTTAAATACTATGATCAACTCCTTAAGTATTTCTTCGACATTTCATATTAGTTTTTTTTTTTTTGCAATTCAAGATAGATGGTTACTGAATGAGGACCTTTCATATTATGAGGATATGTAGAATAGATAACAGTTGACCCTCCACTTCAAGAGGTTGAGATTGTAGTGATCATTCCCCTCAAGAAGACTGTCCCACATTGCAATGGTTCCAGGAAGAAGTGAAATTAAGTCTATATATTTTATCACTTTGCATAACAAAATACATTTTTATTACATAGGTATTTGCTTAGCCTTGGTACTGGGCTACCCAACATTAATAGTAAACTAGATGATCCTGTGTTTGTCTAAGGGATTTCTGCTTAGCAACAACACCAGGTCAATCAATATGAACTTTAAATATTTAAATCAATTGTCAGTTGAGTAAACTTTGAACTTTGGGAGGAAGGCACAATTTTCACTGCTCTGTCTAACTAATGTTCAGTTAGCTGCATTAACTGTATAGCCAGTGTGTATATTTGTAATTAACTGCTGAAAGAAAAACAAAAGTATCTATGAACTATTTTCCCCAGGTTAAAATGTCCTTGTGCCAGATTCACTATGCGTCTTGAACACCAAATGATCAACTCTTTGTAACTCTAACAGGTGACCAAGTAGTAAAAAAAAACAAACAATTAAGCAGCTTTGAATCTTATTTTTTAGCATAGCAACATCTCACAGTGAAGCCATTGTTGTTATAGAGCACAATCAAGGGGCTAGTTGAGTACTTAACTAGAGATATCTGTAAACTAAATATAACAGTTATTAAAATGCATTTTGATTACACATCAGACTATTTATTCCTTTCAGCACAAAAGAAGTATCAAGTCAACCTGAAAGTTAAAATTGAATTTATCTTTCTTATCCAGAAATCTTCTTGCAAGAATTTCTCTATAGTCTCAGTTAACACCACCTTAATTCTCAGCCTGCCTAATGATTGTAGTATCTTTTGTTATTGCTCATAAATACTTATCTCCTTGCTGAAGTAAAAAAAAACATCAGCCTTTATTGCCTCCTGCTTTGATTATTAGCCAATTCTCTTATACCCTCTTTGTTTTATCTGATAGTTACTGTTACCGTAATTTATTTTTGCTTTGATTGGGAAATGGTTACACTTCAATTTTAACGCAAAAAAATCCTGCAAGTGTGTTTGCTTGCAGGATTCTTTCATGTTAAAATTGAAGTGTGTTACAATTTTGGGAACTTATTTATTTTTTTTTTTTTGGTAGATACATAAATATTTATCAGACCCTAATTCTAAAGTCTTTTTACCGTGTCCTGGCCTGTAGCATTTGTGTCACTCTATGCTTTGAGATATAGTAGGACCAGTGAATAGTGACACTCAAATAAAGATATATTTACATACTGAAAGATGATTACATTTTTAATACAAGAGCAGCACAAGAGGAAGATAAATTTTCAAGTTCATGACCTTTTTTTTTTTTTTTTTTTAACCCACACTGAAGGGATTTTCTTATTGGTTGGGTGTCTTCAAACAAAGAGGGACAGAAAAAAAACAGCAACACTGGAAACACAAACAAGGACAAACAAATTCCAAATGGAACTGCATAACACAAACAGAAATCCCTGGTAACATACAGCAATCCTATTATACAATCAACACAGAACACTGTTGCTTTCCAGAAAATGTGCCTGCTTTTATGGAGCTTAGCAGTTGGCTAGCAAAAGGAATCTTCTGCATAGCCAAAAGTGCTCAGCTTACCATCCAGATTATTTCATGGGGAAGCTGGTAGAAACTTTTTTTATAACCAGGCATCTTAGAGTTTGCACTAGCAGGGCAGCTATTTACAATCTTTCTGCAAAGACAGCACACTAAACATTGTTTCTTTTGTCCCTCAAGGACAGGTATCTTTTATCACTAGTAGTAAGAAGCTATGTCTGTATTTCATTTACACTACAACCACTCAAAGCAATTTGAAAGACTATTTCTGAATTTTCTAGTGATTGAAACAAAAGAAAATCTGTAGGTGATACATCTGGTTTGTATGGAGGATGTTGAAATAACCTCCCATTTTAACCATTTTGTAGACAAACCTTTGCATTATCATGCTGTAGACTATCATCTTTTCTGATGATCAAAGCAACAAACTTTCAACATCATGCATAGTTTATCCAATCAAGTTGCTGGCAAATAAATGAGTGTAGTTATGGTCATTCCATATTCCAGTAGCTTGTAATGGGACACACATTTTCTTATTCGAACAAACACAAAGCAAGAGATTCTTGGGGATGGTGTCATCCTTTTTGTAATGTCAATACTTTCTTATTTTGTGATAAATGCTGTCTTTTTTTTTTTACACATCACCTGTAACAATGCAATGCAAAACTGTAACGTTGGCATTCACAGTTAAAAAAAAAAAAAAAAACTGTTATTCAGTTCTCAAGCAAAAATTCATGAGAAATCCAAATTCCCTCTTTTTGATTTTTAAACACCCCAATTATGCACTATAAAATGACACACTGTTGGAGAGAAAAGATCCAACTAATTCTACATGCAGATTCTTAACATTCAACCTTACTTGGTTAACTCATTCATACTAGTGAACACTCAAATATACCAAAAATTTATTAAAATGCATTTTTCCTACCTTTCATACTGCTGTGATATCATTAAGAAATATCAGCTTCCCAAGCTCATTGGACTATCACAGATATATTGAGAAAACGTTTTAAGGGCTAGCAATTTGATGTAATTGGAGTATAGGAATAGTTCTTGTCTTTTGTAAATTTTATCTTTTTGTTATATTTCCTAATGCCTGTTCTGTGAACCCAACCATTTACATATAAACTCATTACATAAGTTATACACTTATTTTCTTCACTATGTCCTGTGAGTGTCAAATTTTCCAGGCACTCTTTCCTCATTATGTGCCCTTTTTGTTTCCATTTCATCATTGCTCAAATGAAATGGATAACCATAAGAATAGGTATGTAATTTAATTTCCTATCAATATTTTATTGGTTACCACTAAATTAAAATAGTTTTGACACAATACTGTTTTAATGAATTTTTTTCTTATGATGTATTTACTTGAAAGTTAATATTTCAAAGATCAAAATAATTAAGGTGGTAACATTTGGAATTACTGACACTAATCATTTTCTTGATGTTAAAAAGAAATTCAAGAAAGACACCATAGTTTTTATTAACCAGAATGCTTTTGATCTTTTCCAAGATCATTTTCAGGGGTAAATTACAAAGACAAACTAATTGTAACTGCAATAAAATATGCATTCCATTGTGATGGTAATTTTAATATATATATATATATATATATATATATATTATTGTGTGTGTGTGTAGTTTATTTCTTTTGATCACCACTGTAGTATTGCTATGACACATTATACTGTTTAACAATATGAAAGGTTGCAGTGGAAATTGCATTAATAAATAATCACAATAAATTATGAGATTTAAACAAAAAGTAACAATATAATTTAGCTTACCTTTAGTTCTTTGAAAAAGAAAGAATTCCGTGCCCACTCAACCATGAGGAACAGACACTGGTCCACAAGTCGGCATATCATTGCAAACAATTTATCCGGATGCCATGCACACTGGAAGCTTCCGAATTCTGTCTGAATAAAATTAAGCAGCTTTTGTTTGCGTTCTGTTTCATTAGGCATCGTGGCCTTAAAGTCCGAGATGAGGGACGGTACATTTGGAGGCAGCGCTGGTTGCTGGCCATGCAAGGTGGAGTGAAGCGGGTGCAAGGCATTTACCATTGTTGGGTACTGCTGTAACGTACTTTGCATTGCTACACTGCCACCAGAATTCACCGGCGGGCATTCACTGTTTGACATTGTAAGCTGGCTGACAGGTGGAGAGCCATCATACACAGGTGAGGGCAAAGATGGTGCAGGTGACGACAAAGGTGAGTTGTTGCCACCTCCACCACCACTACCCATTGTGTAGGTGAGCTGATTGCTGCCCATCAGTAATGTGCTAGGTTTAATGTCCTCTACAGTGGTGGGTAAGGAATTCATACCATTTGCCATGTGCATCTGACATGAGGACAACATTTGTTGTCTTTGGCGAATTGCTTGCTGTTTTAATGCCCGATCGCGCTTATACATTGGGCCAAACTTGTTCCTGCCCCCTCGCATCCGGTCCGCTCTAACAGCTGGGGAAAGAAAAAAAAATGTAATGATAATATATAAGAAATATAATAATAAAACTGCTTCCAAATAAATTATATAAAGACATTTCTTTTTTTTTAAGCTTTTAAGTTCTCTAAGCTTTTGTATTAGGGTTACACTCAATGAGGTCTGAAACTATATATACAATCAGAAAATTAGACTAGATCCTTCAATGTGCTTTGCTGTTAAGCTAATTCACATTTTCAATGCCTTGCTAACCATTGTACACATCTCTTAAAACCACTCCATAAGGAAATAAAGAACATTATTAAGAGTTTTTTTTTGTTGATTTATACCCACTCTTTGAGCATGTAATTCTGTACCCCGAATTATTGGCTAATGTTAAATGTAATATAAACACAAGAGAATACTTTCAATGCATTTTGTTTTTATTTTTGGATAGTGAAACTCATTACAAAACCTGACAAACAACTCAATGTGAAGCATCAGGGAATCATACCTTGTAATTATCTTATAAAAACATATACTCCACATTGCAATGAAGATTAACATGTAGGGATGTAAAAGGTGATCATCTCCCTTTGCTTGAGATGAAATCACATGATGAAAGTGGTCAGTCATTAGTCACTCAACAGGAGCTGTCCCCCCCACCTTTTTTTTTTTTTTTTTTTTTTTTTGCACAAGCTAAACCTACCAGCTCAAATTCCTGTTGGGAATTATGCTAATTAAGTCCTGTCTCTAATTCTCTTCTAATTTTTCACACGATTTGTTGTTGTATACATGTGTTATAATTGTGACACCCACCAGCGGTCGCAGCACCAGCGCCAATATGGGACGTCCACTGGTTGCGACGTCAATATATGACACTGCGCCGTCGGCCTGTGGTCAACTACTAGTTATGCCGCAAAGCCATAAGGTTTCTTCCATCAGTGTTTTGGGGGTTGACTCCTTGTCGCTGCCACCAGCCTGTGTCCTGGTTGATCTGGTAGTTTCCGGTTCGATACCAGCTTTGTCGTTCTCAGCTCACCTTCAACGCTTGGTCACCGAAGTAACTGCTTTGATCTCAAGTCCAACCTACCCATGCTGTGACTTTGATCATAGGTAGACAAAACCAATCAGGTGTCGGGCCATTGTGCAAGCTGAATCCGGGGTAAAGATGATACCGCACAAGCATAAGTAAAAGAAAAATAATAAAATAAACTCACGAGGTTCAAATATGTTGAGAAATAACAATTAACTTTATCTGTTGAATACAGGAGTGTGTTTCTCTCCCGGCCCGTTTCTATGGATACATGACACTTTTTGCATTTCTTAAGCGAGTTATGGTATCTTAAGTCGTTCGTCAATAAAAACTAAGTCGAAAAGGACGTGGAAATCTTTCGGTCAGCTTCTGTGAGGCAACACTCTGACTGTGTAACTCCGACCGTGTCTCTGAAACTCAACTGTAAACTGTCCCGAAACGTTTGTTTATATGGACACCGGCCAACTCCGGTGTGGAGGCCTGTCATGGTTTGGGTTCTTTGACAATTCTTAATTCCCAACAAGAATTCTCTTTGTTCTTAGGCCAGGAAAATTAGTTACTTCCCATTTTTGGAAGATTAATCACTTTCCACTTCGGTGTTCCTCCCTCATCCGTGAGGGAAGGTCGGAGGAGATTTATCCTCCTAGACTCTTCCTCTCTCATACCAATCCCCTCAATGGGTGTTAACAACTTACATTCACCTCTGCCTATCACCCATGCTACCAGTTAGCCAATGATCTCTCGGCAGTGTGGATGTGGCTAGACTGGCCCTCTTAGAATTATTATTGAAAATTTTGTTTGTAAAATCCTTTTTTTCTTTTCTTTTTCCTTTGGCCAAAACATTTACAATTGCCAATTAATTCCTTATCACATCCCAAATCCACTTTAGCTCGGACCTCAACTGACTCATTATTCATAGTCGACACTCGACATCTGGGTTATCCGCTGGTCAATCCTTCAACTGGGTGGCCATGCTTACCCGACAATTAAATTCTTTATTTTTCTCATGTCTTACAATTTTCTTATCACCAGATGCTCATTTTCAAGTCAACAGTTTGAATAAGCAATAATAATGTTCTCCTTTTTGACTCTCTTTTTTTTTCATGTCAAGATTCGTACATAGACCAGATGGCTTCCCTCGCTAGAATCAGGAATTAAAGTCAAATGATATCTCTGAAGGATAATCGATGGCCACTTTCCAGGGTGGTCCCAGGCCAAATTTCCTCCATGGTCACATGTGTCGACCGGCTTTGTTTATCTTTTAGAATTCTGTTTCGTTTGATGCGTCACTCCCTTATTGTGACATTAATTAATTTGACAGAATCATAGTCTTGCTTTTTCTTACTGATTTTCTATCTTTTGCAAAAAGTATCTTTCTTTTGTAAATAAAATATAAATTCTTTTTTTTTCTTTTTTTTTTTAATGTCATTCAGTCTATCTTTCGGTATAGCTCTTTCTCGCCTTAAGTATTTCCCGTTTTTAATTACTATGGTTAATTAGTTAGCCAATTACCATAACTAAATAGTGTCACATAATTTCTCTGTGTGGTTACAAGTATTTAATTTTGGGTCTGAATTAGCAGTATAAAAATCTATTTGAGAACAAAACATGTTTGTCATTCCTTTTCTTTCAGTTTCCATCTGTGAATTAAGGAGTTATATTAATGCCATGCAAATACAGAATAGCACTCCCATTAATAAGTACAAGAACATTAATTCCCCATTGCAGCTTTACAGTAACATACAAACAAGTATCTTCTGATCTGTCATACATTTTATTTATGTATATATATATGTGTGTGTGTGTGTGTGAGTATGGTAGTCCTATTTTACCATTCATGGAAAGTGTGAAACCATTTCAAGTTTGTGGAATACTTTTAGCATTTTACAAGCCAGTATTAACCATGAAATATTTTTTTGTATTTAAAAAGTAGGAAAGGTTTTAAAGAAATGAATACCAGCCAACCAACCTATTTTAACTTTCCCTTATACACAAATATACTATTTCTTCTTGGCCACCAAATGTTTAAATAAGGGAACCAGAATAAAGTTAAAAAAATGATCCTGAAAATAGCTGTAACCTTGATTTTAATATTCAAACTTGAAAGTTTATAATGTGATAATTACATTCAAAATATTGTTCTGAAAAAACAATTGCTCTAAACTTGTTTTTAATTCAAACTGAAGGATAAAGAGTTTTGAAGCCAGATAAAAGTTTTTTTTTTTTTTTTTTTTTTTAACTGAGCTGAAAATGAGTAATGACATCAAATGAGTAAATCTCTGTGAATAATTTTTATTCAATGAAAGGAGGACTAAAAAGTTTTTAATTTTGATAAGATTCTTATAATTTATATTTAGTGAAAATTTCCATTAGGTTTGATTATCTGGCAGTTTTAAAGTAGACAAGATTTACACCCAAGTCAACAATTCTGAGCCATTATCCATTACACCAACTGCACATCCAACCTTACAACACCTGGTACTCCTAAGTGGTCACCAATCTAAGTACTTACTAGGCTCAATGTTGCTTAACTTTGATGATTATATGGGAACCAGTGTTTCAATGTGATGTGGTCCTAAACTAAACTGCATAAAGCAGTTGTTGCTGCTGTTTAACAATATTGTGCAACAACTACCTTCAATGTAATCATATTTAGAAAGATTTATACAGAACCCAGGTATTTCAAAACTTTCAAGGTGTCCAGTGGGTTTATCACAAGATGAAAGACAGATGTAAGGAAACTGGCCATGCATATTAAAGTCTATCTGATCTTTCTAATGTAAATTTCATTTTAGCAACATCTATATATTTAATCTGGCAACACTGGGCATTTTAAGTCCACATATTGTATAATTTAAATATTTTTCTTAGTGTGCTAGGGTTTTGGTGATGTAAACACAGAGAGACTTCAAAATGGGTTTGCACCAAGGAAAGAAAAGTAGCCAATTGCAATCTTTTCTCAACAGCTGCTTGACACAGAATGCCTGCCTCTTAAAACAAATTATTAAATACATGCTGAATTCAGGAACATTTATCAGCTAATGGTAAGGATTGCACATGCAGATGGCTGTCTACACACAAAGTATCATGCTTATTTAGCTTCAAGTAATTTGTCACAGCTATCCAATGATAAAATTTGAGAGGCATCAGCATAGAATTTGCCTCCTCACAAGAGCAAATTCAGAAAGACTGGGTAGCATAAAAAATAAACCAATCCCACCGTCTCTTGCCAGAGGTATCCATATTGAGATGATTCTGTAATAAGGAGGTTCTGTTTTGAACATGGATCCCAACGTACTAAGCATGCTTTAGTTAACTTGTCACTTCTCTTATACAAAGAATGAGCTAGCTCATAATAACAGACCATATCAGTAAATTCCAAAACCCATAAAGTGCCATGTGTGATACACATTTGAGCAATCATATCTCATTTGATTCAAGACTGATTTCACAGAAGATTCTCATAGTAGGCTGCCATTTCCTTCTGTGGTAAACTGGTTGCCAACCAAGGCTATCAGAGCCAGTCTGTCCTGCTATTCAATCCATAGCTGGTGGGGAGAAGATATGGGTTCATACCTTTCCTAAAGGTATTTGCACATAGGTAAATTAAGAGACTTCAGTTGGACCCAATGGACTCCTATCACCATGACCTAAAACTTAGAACTGGTATTGAGTTATTTAACATATTAATTGCTGCAATATTCACACTCAAATCAAAACAAATTGTTAGAGAAAGCCATGAAATCGTTTTTTTGTGTAAATCTTTCTAAATATGCTTACTTTGGGGATAGTTATTGTACACTATTGTGATGCAATAACGACTCTATTCAGTCTGAGACAAGAAATATAAATAAAATATTTCTGAATCCTCATGAAGATAATACAATATCAACAGATTTTTTTCAAGTATTACCAAAACCTTTACTACATAAAAACTAAAATGCTGCTTTATTTATTATACTACTAGTAGTATTGTACTCATTAATTCCATATTCAAACAAGTGCAATCAAGCATATTTGGAATAGATAAAAAATAGTCTTATATTGAAAAAACTAACAAGGTCATCCCTCAGGACACTTCCCCTGCATCATCATAGGAATTTTGGTTGCACGTTAATGAAGAGACACAAGGTGCTACTTTATGCATTTCTACGGTTTCATACATTGTCCAGTAAAAAGGATCTTTTGCCTGATACCATTCAATATCATGAATCTGGTCTGTTAGATTCTGCCACTGACCACATCTGAAATCCTGCTGCTGATGTTTTCACTGTTAATAATGAGGTCTCATTCATTGGCCTGTAGGAAGTATTTTTTGCCTGGCACCATTGCAGTTCGATGCCATGAATCTGGTCTTTTAGATCCTGCCAATGATCACACCCAACATCCTGCTGCCTATGTCTTCGCTGTAACCCTGGCTGAAGTGGTATATCTTGCCAAAGGGCAACTCATGTTTTGGTCCCAGGGCCACATAGTTTCGAATTCAGTCACACTTCTTCTAGATTGATTGGTAATCATGAGGCAGAGAGCCAAGTCTTCCCTGCTATTAGAAACCATAGGTGTGGAGAGAGATAAATTCATGCTTTTCCGAAGGTCATTAGTGAATATAACAAAGTCAACTGGAATTCAAACTCACCTCTTTGATTTCTCCTTCAGGATTACTACCCATTACACTACTCACACATCTTTAAATGTAACATTTTAAAACTGTTAATTTAACTGCATAAATGAGTTTCAGTCGTGTGTTGACTAGACCTGTTTGTCTTTTCTTTAATTTATGATAAAGCAAAAATGAGACAGCACAACAAACAAGGAATGTTCTTACCTTCTAATTTCATCCCAACATTAAGGCATTTCTGAAATCGACAATATGGGCATCTTTTTCTTTGCGTCTTATCTATTAGGCAGTTTCGGTTATCCACACAAGAATATACTTTCTTGTTTTGAACTGTCCGTTTGAAGAAACCTGGAAGAACAATACGGAAGCTAATAATAATGATATTAAAAACAAAAAAAAAACTACAAGGCACCAGACATATATATATATATATATATATATATATATATATATATATTGACAAAAATTACAAAAGAAAAGTTCATTTCAAATTTGAACAAATAAATCAAGAAATGTATTGATTTTCATCCTCTACCACACCCCAGAAACTCTTTCTCTCTGAATGATTTTGTGTGAGTGTCTCTAACTCTCTTATATATATATATATATATATATATATATATATATATATATATATATATATATATAAAAAATCAGCATACCGTGATGAAAAACAGTTTTATCAGCAAAATCTTTCTTATTATTACAAGGAATGATCAGAGTATTTTTTTTTAATATACTTTTATTTATATATAATAAAATATATATTTTTTTAATATACTTTATTTTTTACTCCTTTTTAGAACATTCAAAATTTTGATTTAAAAAAACTTGTTTTTCTTGCATCAGCGATTGTACTAACCTAGCATGGCAAATTTTAGCTTCTTTTTTGTGGTGACAGACACCTTAATTTGGAAATTCTTGCAAAAAATCAAATAATTGTTGAATTTAAAAAAAATTTGATTAGAAAATCTTGGTAAAAATATCTTTTTTCTTTTTATATATATATTACCCCCCCCACATAATTAATTTTATGTAAACTTGAGAAATTCAACGTAATAATTCTTAGTGACTATATTAGTTAAAATCAGAATTCTTTGAAGAATTTAAATCATCAATTTTTATTTTTCAAAACTGGAACCCCCCACCCCATCTTACCAAAAATCTGTTCTGAATTGAAAAATAAAAAATGCAATAAAACTAAGACATTATTTAATTAGAGAAGCTTTTAATTGCTTTTATGAATAATATATATTAAAGATAATGTTATCTAAAGAAAAATATCTCTTTGATGAAAAACAAATTTTTACAAGATTTGTTTTCATTTTTTTACAATTTTAAATAGAATAATTTATAAAGTTTTCAAATCTTTTAAAATTCATTTTCAATGAGATAACACTTAGAAAATATTGTTATTAAGTAAAACTATATTTACTAATTGTATATTGTAAAGCTTATTACAATCTGATGACCTCAAATATTTTTAAAAGAATTTTGATTTGTTTTTGTATGTGTGATTACGTGCAAAATTTCAAAGTATAGATGTCCAAATCTCTAACATTATCATTAAAAGTTTACATGTTTTAAGGGTTGTACCCTCACTTTACAGAGAGGAGTAAAAAACCCTCAAAATTTATTGTCTGCTCCACAATACTTAATGATGAATACATTCAACTGTCAGAAAATTGATTAACACATCAGAAAAACAAGACCCCAGGGTTAAGAAATGCTTGTATACATTTTATGCTATAAGTAATATTTGTTTCAAATCAGATTAATTTTAACATTAAATTTGCTAATTTTCTTTAGATAACATTTCAGAAATATATATTTTATTTTTGCAAAACTTTTAAAACTGAGAATTAACTTTTGTTTACAAATGTGTCAAAATGGCCAATTTTTATTGATTTTACTGAAATAAAAAATCAATTCCAATCAATATAATTTCTGTTTGAAAAACACCACAGAGTATTTAGCTGACTGGAAATAGTAAACTTTAAATACTTTATCTTTCAATGAAAGTTTCAAGTTAGCTTTTTCCTTTTTAAAAATTTTAAACCTTACATATTAATAGAGGTACCTCTCTCTCTCTCTTTCTTTTATATATATATATCTCACAAAGTAATATAAGATACCTAAGAAACCAGTACAGTGAAGTAATGCTTGGCTTACCATTACAGCACAGTGAAGTACACAAGGGTAGCTTAATAATTCTAATAAAGTTCTATGCTGATAGTTTCTTCTCTTGCTTGTGGAAATCACTTCTGCTTTCTTTCTTGCTTTCCAGTCAACTTTGACCTTTAAAATGTTAAAGTTCAATGTCAAACATTAGTTTCTGTCTTAATTCCTCTTCTTTTATTGTTCTCTCTCTTGAATATATTTTGTTTCTCATATTCTCTCACACTCAGTAACATTTTGTGGCTTTAGGGTTTTGCTTGGGGTGAAATGATGATAAAAACAAACAATAGAAGAACTGAGCTTTGATCTGAACTTTTCATTGTATAATGTTCAATGAATATGTCTAAAAATGAAGTGTTGACAAGGAAAGAGATTATACTGAAAATTAAGTATTTGCTGTTGGGTCTATAGACTTGTATAGGTATGGGAAAGAGAGAGGAATAATGAGTTTGGGTGGAAAGGGAAAGAATGAGTGTTTGAGAAAAAAATGTAAATATACTGTAGTTTAGTGAGATATAAATAAGGGTATCATATACATAAACAAGTGTACAATATTCAATATGACTAAGTTTTTAAACTGCCTAAATGTCCCCCACCTTACTTATGTAGAAATAAAAAAAATACTAAAAATGTCTGGGAGCAAACCAAGCACAAGCAGAAACCTTAAAGAAAAACAGTTCATCCTTCCAATGTCTATGTTTATATTCTATAAACTGAGTTGAATTTGACAGTGGGGAACAAACAAAAAAAAAAAAAAAAAAAAAGAAATCTGACTCATGTCTATCAAATATTTATCTCGTGCACCTGATGTCAGTCACAGATTATTCACTTAAAAATAAATATTTACATAGAGTGAGATAATGTTACTTGAATATTAGATAATTAATTATTGAATTTCCATTATGACTTCAGTCTTCAAAAAGTGGAAATTTACGAGAATAAACAAAATTTTAATAAGAACAGTTAACCAGTATTCAAGTAACTCTACCTAGCTTATCTCTTGCACTTGGTTCTCAAAAGCTATATTATTTAAAATCAGATTCTGAGTGAGTTTTTACTTATATCTGTGACCTGTCAAATAAGCATGAAAAAAACTACGAGGTCACGACTGGATATGGTTCATATCCTTTGATTGCAACTGTAAGAATAGTGAGGTAACTTCATATTTTAATATCCAGATCAAATTTCTGTATTTTTGCTTTTGCACAATAAGACATACAAGGTTTGTCAAGAAAGTTCTCAGCTATTTCAAAAGCCATTTGTGTAGCTTTGATATAAGTTAGATGATCCATGCATTCACAATAAATATGCTTTAAGTTTTGCTTAAAACTCGGACATTTATCTCCAGGAATTAATATCTATATATAAAATTCTGTGACTTCCATTAGTCTGTCACTTTACCGATTGAAAAAAAAATTTCAGGAAGGAGTGCAAACAGGTAAGGGGGGTACAAAGCACAGTTGGTTTCACTAGGGTGCGTAGCTTAGTACAATAAATTTCCATGGAAAAATCAAGTTTAATTATTTAACATACAAAATACTTCCACTATTTCAAAAAGAATGATTAAAATAACAAATACTTATCTATCTTCTTGATAAAAAATGTTAGCAATAACTTCAACGATAGTAAATGCTATGAGGATTTCAAAACACTTCAGCATATTGCAAAACAAAAATTGTAGTAATTAATATGAGTAATTTAGGTTTACAAGGCAATCCATTGAGAAGCCTAGATAAAAATTTTGCACCCAACTTGACCAGGAATCTTTTAAGTGATCTTCATTGTACAAGGCCTTCAAAAAGGCAGAACTGCATGCAAGCTGTAATCAAAATCAAAGAAAATCAGCTCTGGGTACGAATTGGAAGATCTGGGGATTCTACAAATATTGTCAGAAAATATTCACCCATTTAACAGCTAGGACCTGCCACATTACATACACAGTCAACTTATCCTCATTCAATTATTAACAAGGAAACTCCACTCAACTTCTTCATATCTGTTACGTTTTGGAACAAAATCCTAAAAAGATGCTTCCCTGATCACTACAATCTTAACCTCTTCAAGTCTAGGGTCAACCATTATCTATCCTACATATCCTCATAATATGTACCTCTTACTCCCTCCTTGTATGTCCTTACAACTTCATTCAGCAACCCTTTCTGAACACTTCACTCTTCAAGTCCAAGGTCATTTATTATACTTCCTCTTTATTCTCAGAATTTTCATTTGCCACCACCTTCTCATCCACACACATCATTCAGCATTCCTAATTTGTTGACTGTAACCTTGTGTGGCTCTCAAGCCTGGGATTGGGTAAAGTTTACAATAAAAAAAAATATGTCTCAACTCCATGCACATTACAAACATTCCATTTGTGTACTTAATGATATATCTATATGCAGGAGCACAATATAAGTAGTAAAAAGAAAATAATTTTATCCAGACTTTATTACTGGTGCATGAGCCAGAAGAAGTTTTTTGTTTTGTTTTTTTTATGCAAGTATCTTTTAGTTAAGCTTAAAGAACAGGTGAAGAAGTGAGTGACAGCTGCAGGCTGTTGTAATGTGTGGCTAAAGCTTAAACATTAAACTATACACATGAAAAAAATCAAAGTGACTGTCGGAATATGAGAGAGAGAAAATAAACACAGGTATATAAGAATGTAGGGGTAATGTATGGGATATAAACCTATTTGACAGTAAGTTTATATAGATGTTGTGAACTAGTCCATTACTATAAAGAGCGCCAGGTCAGAGGCAAGACTGGTAGCCAGTTGACAGTAAGTTTATATAGACATGATATCATTTTGCAATTTAGTTAACTCTGATGGTACCTGTATACCAAAACAAAAAAGTATCCTGCACTGAAAGCAAGAGTAATCCTAATTAATTTATTTCCAATAGTCCCCAATTTAAATTCTGCTACAGTAAAACATACCATTCTCTTCCAGGTAAAAATGATGAGGATGGGGAGGCTAATTAAAAAATTTAGATTTTTAATGACCGTTTCAAAAAAAAAAAAAAAAAAAACAACAGTAACAGCTGCAAATTAAACAGCAGGGTAGACTAGGCTCTCTTGCTTTGGTGGCAACCATGCCACTCAAGATGAGAGATCCCATACGGAAAATTGAATTCCAAATCTTGGAGATTACAACAGGGAAATCACTCCTC